TACACATTTTAGACGATTAGTCAATCTGAACCTGATTCAATCAGTCAGACAATCAGTCAATCGATAGCAGTGAAAAACTTCGTACGTACGTACGTGAGTACATCAGTTCATGTTGCCATACCGCATTCATATCCCATATTAGTAGTGTTAGTATAAGTATTAGCAGTAATCGGAGGGATTAGGGTTCGAAGATGTTATTCAAGATAGTGAAATAAACTTAAAAAGATAAAGTGATAAGGAGGAATTAAAAAGTTTATGATTTGAGAGAACACAAAGAATGACTGCACCTGTGTCATTGCCAGGTAGTTGATATCTACCAACATGACTCAGTCCACTTGTCAGTGACTTCATGGATTTGTGCCATATTTAGATCTGGCCACCACTACCTTTCTCCTAACCTATTCCTACACCAAAAAATATAGCTGGACGAGGCAGTCGGTGGTTAGGCATAGGCAACACATGTCTCAATCACCTCAACTGATGAAGTTTCACTACTTATCTATTGACCTGCAACCCGTACCTACCACCCGGTTCCTAATAACAGCCTGATTAAATAGTATGATGTTTGCCGTTTATTGGCTGTTAGCATCCCAAACCTGAAATGTTCAATTTCTCTGAAGAACCGTTTGTAAGTTATCTAACAAGTCAAACATTAATCAAAAGAATTTTATAATTTACAAATTTAAGATTATTGACAGACAAGTCAGACACACCAGTGCAAATACATTAATCGATTGTATGATAAAACAATGAGACGACGTGGTTGACCTGATTCATGTTGAGATGCATTTGCGCCAAACACTTCGTTTAATCTAGTCACACACACACACACACATAAACCTGTCAAAGCGTTTTATATGAAAATTAATAAAAGGTCAATTAAATAAAAGTTCAAATAGACATAAGATGATAATTGTAAATAAAGGAGAGAGAAAATTAACGTAGTATAAAAAGCGTAGGAAATAGTCACATCACCTTAAGCCAAGGGAGATTACCAGGGTATATTAAAGATTATCACAAACTGTTTCTGCACACATAAGGTGGGGGGAGTTAAATTTACGAATAGTCTAGGCTTTCATAAACATCAAAATTCGTCCTTCAACTTTCCTAGACAATGCTTTGAAAGCTGTCTTGATGTCAATCATATACCCTGTCTTAATTATGTGTTTCGCGATCGATGAACATGCTTTTCTGTTTCCCACACCTATCGACTCATTTGAAGTAAACTTATTTTCAAACCACTTAGGAACATGTTGCATGATCCTCGATTTCTAATTCCGATTACTCCTTCCTATGTAAAAGTGTCCACACAACACACGTAAATTGATAAATGCAATGGGATGTGATGTAATCATTCGAGCAACGTTTAGGCATATGTGAAATCATGGGCTTAGTCTTTTCAATGAACAATCAATTTAGCAGCGTAATGTGTTTTCCATTTGACTGCTTTTAGTTTCTATCACCAGATTAAACTATCTGCATCCCGTTACACTAAAGTCAAATTTCGTATAAACAGTATGACAACTCAGATTTCATCAGTGGTCGTGACCATCTGAGTGATTCATGTGTTCCATAAGTGAGTGGTACCAAGCAGTACACTACACTGATGTACCAATCGGGAACATATGTGAACAACCGATGAAGTGACATATGACTCCTCTAAATACCAGCTTCGATCAAGAAGAAATGATATGATGTGTTGTGTTAGCAAGAATCAGAATGCAACTTCTATTATCTTGGTCACCGTGAGCTACCTGAAAATGTACAACAAAACATTCTCCTCACTTTTCTCTGAATAGAATCAAAATTATCATCTCGGAATAATGTTGTTGAAAGTCCTACAATACTGACAGATTATTCGTGGATCGTATTTCCAGTCACTTCTACGTCCAGTTTCAGTGTCTCAACAAGTTTATAGTCTGATCCTTCTGTTTTGTTGATATTCAATCGTCCAAGTGCCATGTTGAGTTATTCGATTGCTGATGAGTCCACCGGTAATGAAAGATATTTTGTTCAAATCATACCAGTCAGTGATGTGTACACACAACCCTCTCTCTGTGGCTAGAATCCATGATGAATATTTGCCGATTACAATACTCATGCAGTGATCCTCTTCACTTAATCACATTCAATGAAAGTCTGTAATCAGCAGTATTCATCACTGTATTCAATCCAATTACACCACATCAAGGTATTATCACTATTTCCTTCTACGTGCATAGATCAATTGACCAAAATCACTTCTCTAAACCCAAATAAACAAAGTGTTGATTGTTTGAACACCTTACAAATAACTTCTAACTATTTACTATTTATCGAGTGTATACAAATCTCAATTGTCATGAAATATATCACATTATCTAATAAAATGACAAGTGCAATACAAATCAACTATTTCACACATGTACACTTACAAGTGTCAGATCATTCATTGACAATTATCGATTACAACGACGACATAGTACACTGAACACTTACACAGTGTAATCAGTCACTTCATGTTGTCCAACTATTACTCTTTAACGATTCATTCACTCAATATAGTGATTTCCTGACATAAACTACGTCAGAACATTGAATGAGAACATTAAAATGGAAACTATGGTCTATTGAATTGTCATTCTTTGTTGATTTTACTAAATTGACATATAATTTGCATTGTAAGTTAATAGAATGTTTAGGATTTAGAATAGTTTTGAATTTAGTCAAAATATGCTACTATTATATTATACACTATGCAACTGATTCTAACAATTTTCATTACTGTACAATAAAATAATGAGACCACAGAATCATGAGTATGATCATCTCAATAAAACAATAATTACTAAGCCTTTCAGTCAACAATTCAAACAAGAAAGTCGCTAATTATGAATGAAATGAGCTATTGTTTGAGTTGTTTGAAGTGAACAAGTCGTTGAAACAATTTTTTATTATCGTTTATCACATAAGACAGCAATCAAAATGAACTTCGATGAACGTTGATACAATCTTCCAATACAACTAGACATTACAAGAGAAAAATGGTTCGAGTCAGTTGTTTAAAACATATCTAGTATCAGAAATCTGTGAGACAAGTAAAAGAGTGATGATTTAAGCACCATACTTATCAAAATGTCTTTGCATCAGTGTGTTATTTTAGTCCTTATCACACATTCAACTTATCTGATGAGTAAGAGGAGGTTAACGAGAGAAGTGTTTCGTACAACACTGCCTCATTGGATCATTACAATAGATTAATCAAAGCATCTCCTTAAAATGAAATCTACTTCTCGGAAAGAAGTTGATCAGACACAGAATCCATCTCCGTAACAGCAGTTTGTATGAAGACATGAAGCTCGTACTAATACAGATCTCTATTCAAACACGAATTACCATAGAAATCTAGCAAATAATGTTGATGAATCATCTTGGGTTATGAAGTTGTTATTTTGAGTAGTTCACGATTAGAAAACATTCTTCACACTAACTCCTAGACAATGAAAACAGAATTTCTTCATTTCATGAAACCATTGACTGTTGATATATTTTTTATTGATTTTGATCTACACAGAAACCACAATGTTTATTGGCAGATGTTGGATGATTTGCCTCAGAATCGGTCACAGCCTTTATCCTAATCTCGATCTACAGTGAAATTACATTGTTGAGTATTCAAACAGTATTTTCAATGCATCGCCTTTCCTACTACTATTACTAACACCAAGTTGTTCGAACTCGTTTAACACTCACCTCTTTGTGTGAATGTAGAATAGTTAGTCAGTCATCATTCATGTAGAGTCACGAAGAGATGTTTTACTTCAAATTCACTTACCACTTCAGCAGCATGAAACGACTAAATATTGAGAATAAAATTGGAAAGGACATAATGGAGAGATCACTTAGAAGAAATATTGTGGCTTAATATCGATATATAGAAGAGGAGTTGACACATACAGCTCATTGTGAGCAACTCTGAACTATATTATTAAAAACTATTGGCCACACACCATGTAAACCATAATCACACCATCTGCATTAGCTTACACCACTCAGAACTGTTAACTAATTCACAAACAAATGCTATATCATTGTCCACTCTCACACAGTGATCTTTCAGCCTGTTGATATACAAACACACATCTCCAGACGTAGTGATTACATAAACAGGATTTTTGTCCTGTAACACCACACACTCTATAAAGATATTTAATCTTAAAAACCGATTTACCAACTGTCAATTCAGTAAATCCATATAACTCAAACAATCCTACTTCTAAGACAATCTGCATTTGACGAACTGATTGAAATCCCTACTCGTACCAGGCTACACATTCTTTCTCGCCAATTACCCAATGGTTCACTTACAATCTATATTTCCGAATATGAAGTGATTCTACAGTATGATTTTTAAATTTATCAACTAACTAATGGATACACTTCAAATCTACTGTGCAGTGATCTATCATGACGAAAAATATCTCCTGAATTAGACCGAAATATATTGAAATGAAATTAACTGATTCCATATCGACATATTTTTCTAAAAGTATAATGCACTGATTAACGTTTGATCAAAAGAAAATCATATTTACAGTCAACAATGTCTAGATTCGATTTCATATTCACGAATGTCAATAACACATATTTGACAAACAACGACTATTATCACAGTTACTAATATAGTGGTGATATCTGTGCTCGCCTTGTCTCAGTGTACATCTTCGAATATTTACACTCTTTACTTACTGAATAAAATTCTGTACCGCACAGTCTAGTCCCTAAACAGAGGTATCAATGTCTCAGTCCCAGTAACAACCACGACATCCTTGATTCCCATTACTATTCCACTCTACACACAATTCAGATTCAACAAATGTTTCTCATCATTAGTATACACACTCAAAGTCTGTTTTAAACCATCAATACATGAATTTGTCACTCGTAAACACAATAACGATAGTAAATCCTCGATGTACCCCACCTACATCTTCATCAATTCGCAAAAAAGTCGACAAAAATGAAACTCAATGAATTTTTATTTTCATTGCAAAATGACAAACAAAACTTTATTGTGTAATTAAAATCAAATTCAAGTTAATAGAAAGACAATAAATATGTCAAAGTACATTGAAAAAACATCATATCAATAAAATAATAATGAGCAACATCACAGAAAAACCTCTTCATCACTCAAAGTGTCAACATTCACGATTTATAGTTTTTTAAGTTATATAAGACAGGTAAACACTCTTTTGAGGGGCAAAATATTTTTATTTCTTCAATTAACCACCCTTATTCATAGTCCGTTGGAGCTGTTACATGACCAAGAAATATCGGTACAGAATCTTTCCATATAATTGAAACAAAGAATGGATGATCCACACGAAATTCTTCATCAGCGAACTCAGGCAGCGGCGCTGCAAGTTGAACAATCTCTGCAGGAGTAGCTGCCGCAGCAACTACACCCTGCTCATTCACCTGTACAACAAAAATCAATATAAAACCGACATAAACTAATTTCAAATAGAATAAAAGAAGCATTAGATATCATGACAATACATCCAATCGAGCAGCAACTCGGCTTCATTTTATTCTACTCATTCAATCATGCAATGAGTATACGATAAATATGTCGACCAACTCCGACTCAGATTATATTACGTCAATTTATCTGGCATCATATGTCATGCAACCTCAAAGAATCAACATAATTCCACGTGGTACTGCATTACACTGGATTCTTGCTTAGTAGATACATGTACATATTAACTTAAAGTCAAAGGCCGTTCATCAGAAAATTCACAGCTTCACTGTGGCATAATCAAACGTATGTTCAGACTTCAACAGTGTTAGACAACTGAAAGTATCGTAGTTCAGTCGACAAAGCTTCATCACCCATAACGCCCAGAAAATCTGATAATCGTTACAATTCAGTGATCCGTTAGTTCAAACATCCACAAGAGGTCCTTTGTAGCACAAATAGTTCACTGGTGACATTTTTCAGTGTGACTAACGTTTGATGTGTGATCGATTCTCACACACACGGAGCTATTGACCCTAAAGGTCTCAATCTAAGTTTTAATCTTCAATAAAATCAACCATAAATAAAATAATCTACAGTATCTGATCATCGTTGACAACTACATCAAGTTACTTAAACTACTGATCGACTTTACACTTGCTCAATACAATTTCGTTACAGTTAGAGCAGTATTCACAAACACGGGTGTTGCTGCAGAAATAACTAAGAAGAAATCAAATCTGAATCATACCAGCACTTCAACTTTATTACATACTGTCAATCGACAGAAAGTGAAGTAGTTGAACGTGTTGACCGCTTCACTTATCTTGGGAGTCTCATTAGTGTTAATAACCTGCTGTGTGACAAAATCTCAGCACGGGTACAGAAGACTCAATTGGCTTTTGCTAACCTGTGAACTTATGGCGTAGACGAGATATCCGTCTGCTAACCAAAGGGCGAGTGTACCGCGTAGCAGCTCGTTCTGTTCTACTCTATGACTGTGAAACATATTCAGTCAGATTAGAAGATATTCATAGGTTACTGGTTTTCGATCATAGGCATCTCCAAAGCACTGCTCGTGTATCATGGGACAACCAAGTACGCAATGCTGTTGTTAGGGAACGAGTACTCGGTAAGGTTGGTAGATCGATAGATGAAGTCCAGCTACATTCTGTAGTGTACGAGTAGGTTTGAAAAAAGCTCGAGTCAACCAAACCAAAACATGGCACAAACCGATGAAGTCAGTCACGACTGGATTGAGTCATGTTGGAAAATGTAGAATACCTAGTTGCTGTCCGCGACATGATAATAATCCATGGTTAAAAGCCTTAAATGACATCGCTCAAAACTATTCGTAATGGCGCAGGTGCATCCATTCTTTGCTTCTCTCAACCCTTGGTCTTCAATTCCTTATGACCGTTTTATTTTCTTTTGTTAACTGATTCATTTGAGGTATACATCTCGAATGATATGTTCGATCATTATTCCCCTTCTGATTACTACCTCTACTACTATGGGATTTGAATTGACAACTGCATCTCTGTGCTAATATGGTACAGCAACTTCAACTAATGTATGTACGTACGTACGTACGAAGTTCTCACATTATAACTGAATGACTGACTGTCATACTATCAACAGATAAGCATCACTTTGTCAATGAAGCGTGTTCATAAGTATAAAATCTATTCAACTTACTTCTAAAATCGCCTTATGTAATACATCTGATAGGCTAAGATTATTTGATTCAGAAATTTCTAAGAAATTAGCTAATCCCGGAGAAAAAGCTTCTTTCATTCCCATTCTTTGTAAATAATTTGCTAAACTTATAGCATTGCCTTCTTTCAATTGGAATTTGGGCAAATATAAATGTATACTGGTTTCTTTGAAATCAGAAGACAGTATTGACGAAATACCATTATTTTTAGATAGTGAATTCAATAATTCTGGTAATCCATCATTTGTATTCGGAAGAACAACCAATAACGAGTAACTATAGCAAGAAAAAGGAGAAGAAGAAGAAGAGTTTGAAAGCAGAATTGAACAATAATTATTTGTTATTTATTTACTTCTATTAATTCACTTGACAAACGTTCTATTGAAGGCTCTCAAGGTAAAAACGAAAAGAGGAAGGCCAAAGAACATATTACGCCGAGAAATAAAGAAACTCATGAGAAAAATGAACAAACATTGGAAAGAACTGTAAAAGAGAAGCTCAGGAAAGAGTTGGTTGAAGAAAACTTGTCAGCAGCCTATGCTTCATTGGGGGTAACAGGCGTAAGTAAGTAAGTAAGTAAGTAAGTAAGTAAGTAAGTAAGTAAGTAAGTAAGTAAGTAAGTAAGTAAGTAAGTAAGTAAGTAAGTAAGTAAGTAAGTAAGTAAGTAAGTAAGTAAGTAAGTAAGTAAGTAAGTAAGTAAGTAAGTAAGTAAGTAAGTAAGTAAGTAAGTAAGTAAGTAAGTAAGTAAGTAAGTAAGTAAGTAAGTAAGTAAGTAAGTAAGTAAGTAAGTAAGTAAGTAAGTAAGTAAGTAAGTAAGTAAGTAAGTAAGTAAGTAAGTAAGTAAGTAAGTAAGTAAGTAAGTAAGTAAGTAAGTAAGTAAGTAAGTAAGTAAGTAAGTAAGTAAGTAAGTAAGTAAGTAAGTAAGTAAGTAAGTAAGTAAGTAAGTAAGTAAGTAAGTAAGTAAGTAAGTAAGTAAGTAAGTAAGTAAGTAAGTAAGTAAGTAAGTAAGTAAGTAAGTAAGTAAGTAAGTAAGTAAGTAAGTAAGTAAGTAAGTAAGTAAGTAAGTAAGTAAGTAAGTAAGTAAGTAAGTAAGTAAGTAAGTAAGTAAGTAAGTAAGTAAGTAAGTAAGTAAGTAAGTAAGTAAGTAAGTAAGTAAGTAAGTAAGTAAGTAAGTAAGTAAGTAAGTAAGTAAGTAAGTAAGTAAGTAAGTAAGTAAGTAAGTAAGTAAGTAAGTAAGTAAGTAAGTAAGTAAGTAAGTAAGTAAGTAAGTAAGTAAGTAAGTAAGTAAGTAAGTAAGTAAGTAAGTAAGTAAGTAAGTAAGTAAGTAAGTAAGTAAGTAAGTAAGTAAGTAAGTAAGTAAGTAAGTAAGTAAGTAAGTAAGTAAGTAAGTAAGTAAGTAAGTAAGTAAGTAAGTAAGTAAGTAAGTAAGTAAGTAAGTAAGTAAGTAAGTAAGTAAGTAAGTAAGTAAGTAAGTAAGTAAGTAAGTAAGTAAGTAAGTAAGTAAGTAAGTAAGTAAGTAAGTAAGTAAGTAAGTAAGTAAGTAAGTAAGTAAGTAAGTAAGTAAGTAAGTAAGTAAGTAAGTAAGTAAGTAAGTAAGTAAGTAAGTAAGTAAGTAAGTAAGTAAGTAAGTAAGTAAGTAAGTAAGTAAGTAAGTAAGTAAGTAAGTAAGTAAGTAAGTAAGTAAGTAAGTAAGTAAGTAAGTAAGTAAGTAAGTAAGTAAGTAAGTAAGTAAGTAAGTAAGTAAGTAAGTAAGTAAGTAAGTAAGTAAGTAAGTAAGTAAGTAAGTAAGTAAGTAAGTAAGTAAGTAAGTAAGTAAGTAAGTAAGTAAGTAAGTAAGTAAGTAAGTAAGTAAGTAAGTAAGTAAGTAAGTAAGTAAGTAAGTAAGTAAGTAAGTAAGTAAGTAAGTAAGTAAGTAAGTAAGTAAGTAAGTAAGTAAGTAAGTAAGTAAGTAAGTAAGTAAGTAAGTAAGTAAGTAAGTAAGTAAGTAAGTAAGTAAGTAAGTAAGTAAGTAAGTAAGTAAGTAAGTAAGTAAGTAAGTAAGTAAGTAAGTAAGTAAGTAAGTAAGTAAGTAAGTAAGTAAGTAAGTAAGTAAGTAAGTAAGTAAGTAAGTAAGTAAGTAAGTAAGTAAGTAAGTAAGTAAGTAAGTAAGTAAGTAAGTAAGTAAGTAAGTAAGTAAGTAAGTAAGTAAGTAAGTAAGTAAGTAAGTAAGTAAGTAAGTAGTTCACTTCAATTCAGTTAATTTAGTACATAAAACCGTTATGATAATAGTCTTGATACTATTTTTCCAATAATGAAACAAACTATACAATGCCTAGAAAGATTTCAGCGGTTAAATCCTATATTTCAGGTTGCCATACCACAGTGGCGCAAAGACACAACTATCAGTTCAAACCCAATAGTGATAGCGAGAGTAGAAGAATTAGCAGTAATTAGCATAGAGATGTAATTGTCAATTCAAATCCAATAGTAATAGAGGTAGTAGAATGTATTAGAAGTAATCGGAGAGGTTAGGATTAGTAGATATTATTCAAGAAGTATGATTCAATGAGATAAATTTAGAAATGTACTGATGTTTAAGTACTGAGACAACTTCATGATTTAACCAAAAGCATATATAGTTTGCTTCCTTGTTTACTACTATTTAACTGAAACTGCATATATAACTTGACTAAGTTGATATTGGTAAGTTGAAAGAATTATACCATAGATACACTATCTTTAATTGACAGATATCTAATTCATAATGTCTGCTAATGTTAAAGTAGTTTGGTTTGTATTTTGCAATCGTGTAAGATTATTTAAAAGCCAAAATCGCTTAGTAGAATAGTAAACTATGATTAATAAATGCTTATGTACTAGATTAAAATGATATGTTTAGTAAAAAGATATCAGTTTATTGTAATGGTAGCATCGAAGATAATCTTGTGAAGTGTTCATAAGGTAACATAAACTTAGTCATATCTAGGATATATATATATATATATTTCATCCGACTTCAAATCGACATTTCTAATTTATGTCATAGAAATACTAACCTTACGTCATATTCTTTCAATGAATTGTATACAATTTTAAATAATGCTTTCAAGAATGAAGAAATTAATTTTCAAAAATTTAACAGCAAATTATAATTGAAAAGGCGTACAGTAGCACATCTCTTATAACCCGACCGTAGCTGTTACCTTGACGTGGTGGTCGGGCTTGCTTATCATGATGACCCAACCGAGCTATACTGGCTGGAACATATGTTCCTGCAGGTCCTACGATGCCAGGCTGGTCGATTGGAGAACGATAAGACTAAAAGCAGCTACTCAAGGTCTGAGGGCGAAGTCGTACTGCTGACTGCAGAGGGCTGTGACGGCAATAAGGTATTTCCCTCGGACAACCAGCATCCGCAGCGATGCTGCTTTCTCACAAAGAAGGAAGGGTTAAAAAAGGTCGACCCTTAAAATGTCAACCCCCCTACCTCACAGATTTCCGTCTCCTTGGGTAAGGGTGCCCACTAAGGGCCTTTAAGAACGGAGCTAATCCTCAAAATACCTTTAATAAAAAGGCCGTGCGTGACCGGCCTCAAGCAGTTGTCCCTTGGACTCTGCGTTCACGCTCCCAGGTCGTTAAGACCGACACTAATCTACCTTCCTTTTCAGGTTCCTCAAGTAACACCCTTCCACGGTGTAGGCAGCCGGGAAGTGACAACCGCCCTCATACCCGTAACAGCACGAGAGACCAATCTGGTCGAAAGAAAATCCTTCCTACACCCACACATAACATCACTTATAATGTAGTTGAAATAGTAAATCTATACTTAGCTATGTATAGAGACAAACTAGTTAATTGGACCTGGTGATTTTATTAAACTAGTGATTTATAGTGGTTAAGAAAAATAAATAACCTCCTTAAATAGTTAAAACTAGTTAATTCAATATACTTAGACTCCTTTTACTACATGAATCCTAATGAAAAAAGCTAGATACTATTGCTCTAGAACTTAAAGCAAAATGTATATACTTACCTAGGACGTTTAAATGGTATTTTAACAGCTCGTGATTTTAAATGTGGTAAATTAACCATTTCGAATGGGGCATTCATATACATTAATTTTACGTTTCTTTTTGACCCGTCAAGATTGAAGAAATCACTTTCATGTGAACTCCCTTGAAGAAAAGGTTGATTCCACATACCTAAGAGATAAAACTAGTTATTTAATCATCAATAATTATAGAAATTAGAAACAATAAGAATGTGAAAGACTTAAATTTTCGAGGCAATATATAAACACCATAAGTGGAATACATAAAATTACCTTCAAAGTATGTGGTTGCTATCACTAAAACTGATGTATCAGTTGATAGAGATCCAGATGGGATGAGACGCTGAATCTTTCCATTGGTTCGTTCACTAACCAACTGATTTATTCGTGTTTCAGCATCTTCTGGATTCGTTTGAAATGGCATCTACATAGCAAATTAGTAATAGATTATATACACTTACAGATTCTGTCAAAGCATTATAGTAATTTTTAAGAATATTTTGAAAACCCTCTTTAACATCCAGACTATCGGCGGTAAACAATCCATTTCCAATGATTATTTCAACACCTTCACCACGTTCTATACATTCACCTAAAATTCCACTAATTCCATAGTGAATTTCGCGATTCTCCAAAGAATTGGGCAGATGCATTACTCTCCTTATTTCTGATTTTGTATTATCTTTACTCCCAGAAAGAATCATTGCCAGAGCAGTATAAATATTAAAGGGAGATAGAAAAGTATTCTCCAAATGACCTACACAAATAAATGGTTTACAAATTGCATTGTTGACTTACTCTGGTTTTCTCTCACTATTTCTCCATAAAACGTTTCAGTGAAGTTTTGAAGAGATAGTGATGCATCCATTTTGTTTGAAGATATAATCTGTTAAAATAATGGCAAGAATTAATTATTTTTATTCTAGTAGAAAATGATAAATCTCAGTACAATTTCATCTAGGAGATGTTTATAACGTCAATGTACCACTTAAAACCAATGAACACGATTTCTGTGATGAACAGGACGAACTTGTGATTTTGACCACTAGTCTAATTTTATTAGCTCTTTTATTTCAATAAAGCATTAGAATTTTTCCTTATAATTTTCCAAATTGCAACTAACTGATTTCCGGCCTGATTATGTGATAGTTGATGGTATCCACAAACTCTGCCTAACTGAAATAAACGTATTCATTGAGATTACGGGACACACAAACTCACAAACAACTGTCAACTAACTCGAATTAGGCAGTCGAATGGTTAGACCACCAGCCATTCGACAGTATCAAACACCTGGAACCCTACTGAAAGAACAAGAATCGAACGCCGGGAAATTAATTGACTTATACTAGCTCGTGAAAGAGATACTGGATTTCATCAACTTTGGATGATATCACAAAAAATATTTGGTGTGGTATTTATCTTATGTTAGGACAAGCATAAATAGCACTTAATTATAACTAATAAACACATAAGACTAATGCTATTGAGATGTTTCTACATGCTAGCAATTTGCTTATCAGTCTGAAATATAAGACAATTTAGACTAAGATTGATAATTTGTACTAGTAAGAAACCATTATGGATTTCAATTATTATTAACAAAATTTTAAGTTATTCATGTGAATGTTTATCAAACAAAAACATTTTTGAGAATAAAAAAATTAACCAGTACCTACTGTGAACAAAGTCCCGGCTTGAAGATTTGAAAAATCGCAAACTACTAACTTTACGACTGTCGCTCTCTTTATACCTCCGTATCAAGGTTGTCTTCCAACATCCAATATCCAATACACTTCTTGTGAGTTAGTATGAGCGGCTTGATTTCTCTGCGCCGAATTCTTGTTATCTCAGGACGGTTCCACATACTTCATAATTTTCAGTGGATGGTAGTCTATGCACTAGACTCCATATATTCTAATCAGTCGATAGTCATTTAAGGGTTTGTACAACCTTCGATTTGCGGTAATTACTTTACCTCAGGACAGTGTGGTTTCTGGGTACCAGCAGCTTTCGCAGTGTAGGGATGGATATCAGCTAGTTATAGTGAGGAGAATAATAAGGATAAAATTCTAATGCTAATAAGTTTTCAGAACCATGTAAATAAATATAATATTAATTAACTCTTAGTGAACATTGTGTGAGAGGATAGAAGTGTACGCAAGGTAGAGGCAACAGGAACAATAAACGAAGTGGAAAAAGCTGGTGAACTGAGGAAATGACGTTGTTACCAACTAGCAAGCTTTAAGTTATGGAGCAGGCAGAGTTAATCCAAGAGGAAGGTGACAATCCATAAGTTAGTACGCGCTCATCTACTTCAAGCAATTTACAGAGTAGTCTGTAGTCACTGCACCTGGGAAAGCAATCCGAAATGAGACTACTCCTGATAGGAAGCAGTGGGCAAGAACCTGAATTTTCTCTCTTTCATGTGCAATTTTTCGAAAGTTGCGTCAAATGTTGTGATGGTGATGTGTCGACGAGATGCTAATGTTGGTATCATTTGGTGTACCTGATGTGTTGTATTATATTATCAGATTACATCTGACTCTCTTGTGACTCAGAGGCAATAGTCCCAAGTGCTAGATTTGGGCTAGGTTTGTTCCTCAACTCTTTTAATTTTAGCTGTTCGTCTGTGGATTCGATCCAGGAGATTTATGTCTATTCTATGGATGGGGAGGGCAACAACCTTATAGACTTCAAAATGTGGGCGTGTGTATGCTTTTAAGAGAATTAAGAACAATGGTAGCATGATCTCACCAAGTTGTTTTTGCATAAAATGAAGCGTTGACTTAGCCATGGCTGCATTCACCATGTCGTTAGAACTGGTTTTTAGGACTCCTGTGGTTGGTAGACCGAGACCACGCTGTGATGGAGCGAACATCCATTACATTCATGTCTAGATGGTGCAACAAAGTTTATTTGTTTAATTTAACTTCTCATCATATCAGGTCTTTTCGACATTCAACGATGATAATACTACTGAATTGCTACAGTTCATTTATCTAGCTGAGCAGAGGATGTATACTAACTGAAACAGAAGCTGTTATGTTGATAAACGGTCAGATAGGAAATTGTAACTTATATACGATAAAATTACAATGAACGAAAAGTAGAGGGACGTAAAATTGCCCCAAAGTGTGCTAGGCAAGGCCGTGAAAAAATATCGAATACAAGGGCGAATATCTTTAGACAATGTAGGACCATTGAAATATCACTATATATTAGCTAACTCATCCAGTAAGAAGATCAGTCAACGTCGAACACCTTATAAATCCCCGTCAAGATCAAAGACAACCAACATCAAGCAGTCAATCGCTTACATTATCCCAACAATATACTCATCACTAAGTGTATGTTAACTTAAGCTGCTAGGTGGGACGATTCCAGTCAGTAGCGTGCTCTCTAGGACCTCAGATTGGCACATTGAGGTCGTAATGCTCGTAACAGTTTGATCTCGGAGTGAAAATTTTACTACGATGGTTGCTAACCATGTAGTCTTCCCAGTTGTGTATGCATTACATGACTGTATTTAAAAGATGAGCACCGGACGAAAACTAGTTATGTCCTAGGTAAATCAGTGCAATGAAATTTTCGAGACCACATGTCTTGGAGTTGCATAACTCTCAAAATGGGCAAACTTACCATAATGAATGTTTAAAACCACAAGCTTTAGCTTCTTACACACTCTGAAACTCATCAGACCTATTTCCAAATTTATCATGGCTTCTGTAGTATCCGCCTAGCAAAAAGGTATTGAAAGTTCACAGTACAAAATGAAGGAAGGCGAACATACCACTGAGAGTGAAATAATCGGAACGAAAAATAACCATTAATTTTGCACTAAATTATTTCTGCTGTGGATTCTCAAAGAAGGATATTCGTAGTAATGGTCACGTCTCTTAAGTTACACACGACGGCGAACCTTCTATTAGGGTATTAAAATACTGAAACTACATTGATTGACTTCAAAGAACTAATATCATTACAGAAAAACTGTTTCAGTGAGAATGGATTAGAGGAACAGGGCGAAACTATAATGACGCTGATAAGTGAAATCTATGAGCGCTAGATTTGTGTGCAGTGAGTCATTCAATATATAGCCAGTCTGACTTGTCCCAACGGTGCTTTGGCCTTGTCAATCATTCGTCACTTTCATTCATGTGTATTCATGCCTATCTCGCTTGTTACCTGTCTGTCTTATTTTTGTCTGACTATAAATTCCTAGTCATGCTTTATCTCTCGGAGTTTGCTCACTAGCCTTCTCCCTATCGCTCCATCCTTTAGCTCGCATGCTTGCTTTCCGGCGCTCGCATTACTAGTTTATCTTTGAGTGCTTATAGTTTGTTGATCATACTCAAATGCACACTGCACCTGTGTACTTCATGATACCATCCTTTGCACTGCGTCCATTCTTCCATAAGATCAACAACCATGTCGGTAGTAACCGCTTCCGGTCACCGAACAGAAGTTTTCAAATTACCTAAACATTAAACACGTCAAGAGTAAAATCAGAAAAATTGGACCATCGACTGTCAAGACAAAAGGTGTAACAAGCAAAAAAAGGACAAATGCACAATTAAACATTTGCTATGTTAATCAAATAACTTCAGTCGAAATGAAACTAGTAGTCTTCATGCATAAAATTACCATCAAAACTGCAGTTAAGCCTAATTCAGGAAAAATTATACTGCCCTTTTAAAATTAACCTCTTTGTTTTGCCATAACGAACGATTTACATTATGATGGACAGTTCGTTGAAATCAAAGCTATTATTCCACTGTTATTCTATTTAATTTTATCGGATTGGGTGGTAAGCTTCTCCAAGTTGTCATAAATATAGCGAAAGCTATATTTATATTGCGAGCTTAATACAAACTAGTTTATAGGGCTCTGCCCATCTCCCTAATGTCTCTTCAGAGCGCGATATTGGTTTAATAGCCGCTGAAAGCTGCCACATCACTTCAAACTACATGGGGGACGCAGTCATGTTAATGCATCCCTTCACTTTGTGCTTTGATAATCTGGTGCTGTCATCGCAAAATTATTCTTAACTTGGTTTAAGATATTTGCATTCCCACACATTGAGGTTTAAAACGTCGTCTTCATAACAGAGACATAAATCTCCTAGGTTGAGTGCGGAAACGAGCAAAGAAATGGTTGATAGGGCTGAAAAATAAAACTGATGAAGATAGGCCCTACCATTTGGGATTATTCCACCTTAATTATAGTAGAATCAGAGGTGATCTGACTATGGCGTACATCATATTAGGCATGCCAAACCATCACAAAGTGAGAACTCTGTCGATGCATCCCCACCAAATTCCTCGAGGTAATCCTCAAAAAATTGTGCACCAGTGAAAAACTACCAAAAAAACTATCAGAAAAACTATCAACCAACTCGAATTAGGCAGTCAAGTGGTTAGACCACCATCCATTCGACAGTATCAAACACCTGGAACCCTACAGAAAGAACAAGAATTGAACGCCGCGAAATTAATTGACTTATACTAGTTCGTGGAAAAGGTATTAGATATATTGGATAATCTGTCCCAACAACGGGAAAGCACAATGATTGGTGTCAAGGTCATTGAAAATGAAAACCGGCCGAATTGAAAATTACCTTGCGTTAGCGCCTTGATTTTCCCAGTTTACACTCAGGTATTGATCATCTTATTTAGACGAATGGATTCTTTTTTCTTAGGTATTCTGTTAATCACAACTTAAGTACTTTATTTTTATTATTTAACAAGCGATAAAAATTGACAGAATGTTATAGTTTTCCTAGTCAGAAGTTACGGTATTTCCTTAAATAGCTTTTCGTTTTGGAGAAAATCCATAAGCCAAAAGACACGAGCTTGTAATTGCACTTTTCAATATGAAATTTAGAAAATTTATAAGACCTTTATTGAACTTTTTGTACATTTCTGTAATATATCTTATGTACTACCTAGAGTATGCATTTATTGGTCCTCAGAGAATTCCACCACTGATGCGTGTAAAAAAAGATTTTCTGTTTGCATGCATTATAGGTCTAGTATGGCTCTGAATATTGTAACCTCAAGAGGAGTGAGCCGGAATAAGCTCAGCCACACATAAAATAAAGTATAAGTGAATTAAGACAAATATTGCTAACATTGCTTTTTAAGGAGCGAAGAAAAGTGAGTTGAAACGATAAAACATTTTGTGTTCGATGAGAACTGTATGTATGTATTTTAGCTGGAATGAGTGATCTGTTGGTAGTTAATTGTCATCTCAACTTTTTCTCATACAAAAATTACCTGCTACTATAATACTGAGTTTTAACTCTATATTGTTGCAGTTAATCTAATCGTATGTCGTTTAAAGTGTTCTTGTACTGCAATTAACTTATTCTAGTTGTCTTCACAGATTGCTGCTTCCAGCAAAACTGATGTACCAATATCGCTTCTACTCTTTAGAGAAAAACTCTGTCGGAGAATATTGGAAAAACCTCAGAGTAAGCCACTCTCCTAAAGTACATTTAATAGTAAACTCAGGTCAGGTGGAGAATACTTTTCTATCTCTTTTCAATGTATATACTATCCTCGAGACGGTTCTGTCTTGGAGTGCAATGAATACTAATGCTGAGATTGTAAAAACAATGCAATTATCTAAATGCTTAGCACATGACAAAGATCATGGCTAGGTTAGTAAACTTCTAAATGATTGTTCTAAACCTGGTGGTATTGAGAAAAAGTTTGGCAATGGAATTTTCATTGCTGACAATGTC